TGTGTGTGTGTGTGTGTGTCTGTTTTTGACCCTTCAAGATGTAAGTTATTCATGCAAGTTGATGCAACTGATGACTTGGTGTCCCATTGGGACATTGAAATTGGGCGTTCCCATCTAGACCTGTTTCACCACACCCAGTGTGCACTATACCCAAGCTAGGGTTTAGGGTTTAGGGTTTACGGCACTCAGGCAACAACACTCCAGCTGTCTCGCCAAGTGCTCTGAGCATGACATAGTTTAAAAATTTTAGTACAAAAAGAAGGCTGTTCAAGGCTTGCAAAACAAACCATCAGGACCCCGCCTATAGGGGTGAATGGTACTCATTGTTAATAAACAGCGCATGGGTTCGAATCCTGATGGAGTCAGGTGAACAAAAGGAGGTTGGCGGGCTCTCCCCTTACCAAGAACAAAAAAAAAAAGAAAAAAAAGTTTAAAAGTAATAAAAACTTAAAAAAATGAAAAAAAAGAAAACATACCATCAGGTGTGTCTCCCACTTCTTCCTCATCATTCCCCACGTCCACAGTGAGCGCACCCTGAGCGCCTTCTCGCATATTCATTGCTTCTGTAACATCCAAAACAAAGTAGCTGGTGTATTTTAAAAACCATGAATATCAATTTTATAAAATCTTTGTTCTGCATCCCTTTTCATTTTTTATTTTTTCTTTCATTTCTCTTTTTCTCTTTTCTGTGCGAGGGCCGAGTTCATATCAAGTTTTCTCTTAAGATCTAATCTTTTTTTTTCTTTCTTTTTTAACTAAGCTACATTCTTCGCTCAATTATAGCTCACACTACCTACCTACCTGCCTGCCTACGCGCAGCAACCAATGTCTAAGCACAGCGGATAGCGGTAACCGATATCTACCAACTGAAGTTTACCAAGGATGAAAGCAGCTGCAATCCAGCAACCAAAATCCACCAAGTAGAAGCAGCCGAAATCCTAGATAGACAATCTACCTAGGGTTGTCTATCTACTCTTCAAGCTTTAAGAAATAGAGTAAACGAAACCCTAGACTACACAGGCTAACTTAGGCAGGGGTGAAGGATGGTACATCCTTCCTAATGGAAGTAATCAATGCCGTCCTTCGGGCCTCCACACCAGAAGGGGGAGGAGCGTGAGTGTGTTCTCAATGCACTTTCTTTGACTTGCCGGTGGAATAGGAACCAGACTGATGCTAAAATAAATATAAAAAAAAAAAACAAAAAAAAAAAGGAACCAGACTGATGCTCCCCAGAATGGACAAGGAGCCAGAACCCTGAGGTTCTGTTTTGGAAAAAAGAAGAAAAAAGAAGAAAAAAAAAAGGGAGTAGTTCCTGAGCTCAATTCCTAACCCCCAGCAAGGGGTGGCAGGGGCAAAGGGGAGTTTGAACCCAGGCTCCTACCAAGACCAGACAGGAGGGGCAAGCCAACTATCTCAGCTGGTGAACACCAAGTACATTGCAGGCGGCCGTGGGGGATTGAGCCCCACAACTTCCTGAATAACACTTGCGTGCGAAACCAACTGAGCTAGGCCGCTGGCCCTCTTAACATCTAATCTAATAAAACGATAGCAACAAAAAAACTATTTCTAGAAGCGGGATGAACCGCATTTTGCTGCACAGAGAAGTCTGGCCATGCTGTTCATTCTGCTACCTTCTTCCCCCAAATACAACGTACGGTCATTATAGCTGTATTTAGACTGAAAGATACCCCAAATTCAGCTATAATGACCGTACGTTGTATTCGGGGGAAGACTGTAGGTAGATAAGTTTTGTTACACTGCATTCAGCATACTCTGAAGTTTCACCTTCCAGCCATTCCGCCAGTCCGTTGGTTGGTCGAAAGCATGGGGAGCGCAGAGATGCCACCTACTTGCAGGCATTTTCTGCATTGTGCACAATAATTGCCTCTCTGTACCCC